TGCATTAATTACTCCCTGCTACTGAGTACTTAGCAGTTAAACTAAATACATGGTTATGAAGAGCAAGGATGTACTTTCAAAATTGTGAAAATTGTCACTCAGGATTACAGTGTTAAGGTCGGGGCATGTCTGTGGAATACATGTATATTGTAAAAATGAAATATAGTGAAAATGCAATATTTGTTTGAAAATCCTCTTTCCTCTCCCTGGAAATTAAGCTGACAAACTAACTGCTGGAATAGGATTCTCAGGGATGCCTCTTCAAAAAATTGAAATTAATAACCCCTGGGTCAGTTTGTTTATTGTTTAACGTCCCTCTCGAGAATTTTTCACTCATATGGAGACGCCATCATTTGCCAGTGGAGAACTGCAAATTTTGACCTATACTCTGCACTTGGGGCCATTGAGCAGTGAGGGATCTTTTTCGTGCCAGCACCTACTGCAACACGGGACCTCGGTTTACACGGTCTCATCCGAAGGACCGGTCTCCATTTCCCACAGTGGGATTCGAACCCGCAATGTAAGGATCAACTCCTTACTCCGCGACTCTGGAGCGAACGCTGTAACCACTGCGGGTCAGGGATTTTGCTCTGTTGATTGTATAGTAAAGACGCCCATGGGTATTTAGTAAACAAACTAAATGTATGGCTATGATAAGCAAGGGCGTCTCTTCCAAAATTGTAAATTTTATGGCCTCTGGGTTAAAGGTTCTGGTGTTAGGATGGGGCTATGTTGAATCTGTAGTGAAGTTGCATTATTTCTTTGAAATTCTTCGTCTCTGCTCCTGGACATTTAGGAGGGAAAACCAGTATAAATAAAGCTGAAATAAGTAAGAGTATTTTTACAAGGTTTTTGAAATTCTGCACCAATCGGTCAATTTATCATTTTGTATTCTACGGACAGAAGTTACTTCCCTTTGCTATTCACCTATGCTAGTTAAACACTGTAAATGTAATTGAAGGGTCAACTGAATAACAGAATTATATAATTTTTTATGACAAAAATATTTTCTTAATCTTCGGTGGACAGGTAGTCATTCAAATAATAGCTGAATAAAAAAGAGACCAATGTGAGAGAGAATGAGGTAGGTTTACTAACAATGCTCAAGAGCTATTGTGTTGTTTAGCCCGCATGAGAATAGTGACAAATTGGGCAAGTACAGGCAAGTAAATAAATCAATTTTGATATTTGTCCTGAAGCAATAAATTAATTTTGTTGCTGATCCCTGTTCAGTATGTTCATATTTCTCTTGTTTTTGGGCAACATAGCTTTATTTATCGGCATCTTTGTTTTATTTTATATTCAATCTCTTGATCCTGTATTTTGTGACATTATACTCAGGTGACCTTGGGCCCTTGAGCCTCTGTTCCAGAAGTCTTTCTGGAAGTGGTTAGTTAAATTTGACGACTAGATCCCCACTGAAAATTTCAATTCCTTATGTTAGGGGTTTTCAATATTTCTGAGCGTGGTGTTTAAAAACCAGAAGTCTCTGATGAGACTGTAGCTCTACTGGTCTGTTTGTATAACAAAAGAAAAGTAGCACTTGGATTTGAAACATTGCAACATGCAACAATAAATAGAATTATGTATCTTAATGTAGTCTACTTTTGTGACAAGTTATATTGAAATCAAATGAAAACTAGGAGTAGTAGCGTTTTGAAAGTATTTCACGGAAATTTCTATTTTTAGTACCGGTAACCATGACAACACCATTCACCCAAATAAAAAAAACAGAAATACATATTATGTATCGTAGTGTATTCTAACTGTGTGCCAAATTAGATTGAAATCAGACCAAAATTGTAGGAGGAGTAACGTTTTAAAGGAATTTCACAGAAATTTCTATTTTAAGTAACCATGGCAACACTGTTCATTGAATTCAAAAACCAATGCAGTAAATTATGTATCTTAGTATAGTCTTCTTGTATGCCTAATTATATTAGAAGCAGACTAAAACTGTAGCAGGAGTAGTGTTTTAAAGGAATTTCACAGAAATTTCTATTTTTAGTAACCATGGCAACACCGTCCATTGAATTCAAAAACCGATGCACTAAATTATGCATCTTAGTGTAGTGTACTTGTGTGCCAAGTAATATTGAAATCGGACCAAAACTGTAGGAGGAGTAGCGTTTAAAAGGAATTTCACAGAAATTTCTATTTTTAGTAACCATGGCAACACCGTCCATCGAAATCAAAAACCGATGCACTAAATTATGTATCTTAGTGTAGTGTACTTGTGTGCCAAGTTATATTGAAATCGGACCAAAACTGTAGGAGGAGTAGCGTTTTAAAGGAATTTCACAGAAATTTCTATTTTTAGTAACCATGACAACACCGTCCATCGAAATCAAAAACCGATGCACTAAATTATGTATCTTAGTGTAGTCTACTTGTGTGCCAAGATATATTGAAATCGGACCAAAACTGTAGGAGGAGTAGCGTTTTAAAGGAATTTCACAGAAATTTCTATTTTTAGTAACCATGGCAACACCGTCCATCGAAATCAAAAACCGATGCACTAAATTATGTATCTTAGTGTAGTCTACTTGTGTGCCAAGTTATATTGAAATCGGACCAAAACTGTAGGAGGAGTAGCGTTTTAAAGGAATTTCACAGAAATTTCTATTTTTAGTAACCATGGCAACACCGTCCATCGAAATCAAAAACCGATGCACTATATTATGTATCTTAGTGTAGTCTACTTGTGTGCCAAGTTATATTGAAATCGGACCAAAACTGTAGGAGGAGTAGCGTTTTAAAGGAATTTCACAGAAATTTCTATTTTTAGTAACCATGGCAACACCGTCCATCGAAATCAAAAACCGATGCACTAAATTATGTATCTTAGTGTAGTGTACTTGTGTGCCAAGTTATATTGAAATCGGACCAAAACTGTAGGAGGAGTAGTGTTTTAAATGAATTTCACAGAAATTTCTATTTTTAGTAACCATGGCAACACCGTCCATCGAAATCAAAAACCGATGCACTAAATTATGTATCTTAGTGTAGTCTACTTGTGTGCCAAGATATATTGAAATCGTACCAAAACTGTAGGAGGAGTAGCGTTTTAAAGGAATTTCACAGAAATTTCTTTTTTTAGTAACCATGGCAACACCGTCCATCGAAATCAAAAACCGATGCACTAAATTATGTATCTTAGTGTAGTGTACTTGTGTGCCAAGTTATATTGAAATCGGACCAAAACTGTAGGAGGAGTAGCGTTTTGAAAAATTGTTGACAGACAGACAGACAGACGGACGGACGACGGACACCTTACTATCGCATAAGCTCTTCTGGTCTCTGACCAGTAGAGCTAAAAACGCGGGTCCTATCTACAGGATTAAGATTCGAGTGTCGGATCTTAAATCTTAAAACACGACGGCTTCAGCATGTTTTTCATAAAGGTTTTTTGACAATAATATCCTATGCTCCTCGAATATGTTTCATAGTATCCAGCACTTAAACTTATCCCTGTTGTACAAGTCTTCGAAGTTCTAAGCCGGAAGTCAATTGGCTTCATAAAATTCCTAATGCATAATACAGGTGGACCTAGGCCAAAATGCAAACCTGAGAAACTTTAGCCCTGCTTTTATTTAAAAGAAATTTGTCTTTGTTTTTTCCATGAAAAACTGATCCAATAATTTAGTCCTTACTCGAAGTGGTATCTGAATCAACACAGCATACGCATGCTTTGATATCAATGTGACTACATTGGAACTCAAGTACTGGAAAAGAGTTTTTTTCTTTCTCTTTTGCTTGTAATAACATTTGATCTCAATTTTAGCTAACTCTAATACAGGATAAAGAAGAAGGGAATCAACACAACTTGGAAATGTCTCCAAATTAAGGGTTCAATATTGTGTTCCATCTGCTATGGTGCAAACATTCTTGAAATGATTTAATCAATCCAATATATCTTTCAATGTAAAACTAGTACTCAAAATTTCAGACCCTGGGGCAGGGAGCTTCGATGTCCCCGAACCCGATGTTTATTCATATAGTATCATGTAGTAGGCCTAACAACTGGAGGGCTATATCTCGGAAACTAGAGATACCATCACCATTTTTTCATTTTTTGATGTTCCCGAGCCCGATGTTTACTCACTTAATATTATATAGTAGCCATAAAAAGTGGAGAGTTGGATCTCTGAAACTAGAGATGGTACCATCACCATATTTTCATAGAAGTGGTAACTGACCTCCAGTACCACACCCCCTAAATGTCAAACCCCGGGAAAGGGGACTTTGATGTTCCCTTCCCCTATGTTTATTCATGTAGTATTATATAGTAACTTAAAAAGTGGAGGGGAGGATCTCCAAAACTAGAGACGGTACCATCACCATATGTTCAGAGAAGTGGTAACTGACCTCTAGTACCCCAACCCTAAAATTTCAGTACCCGAGCCCGATGTTTATTCACTTGGTATTATATAGTAGCCATAAAAAGTGGAGGGTTGGATCTTGGAAACTACAGAAGATACAATCACCATTTTTTCATAGAAGTGGTAACTGACCACTAGTACCCTACCCTCAAAATTTCAGACCCCGGGACAGGAAACTTCGATATCTTTATTCATATAGTATTATATAGTAGGCCTAAAATCTGGAGGGCTATATCTCGGAAACTAGAGATGGTACCATCACCATTTTTTAACAGAAGTGGTAACTGATGAATAGTACCCACCCACCCACAAAATTTCAGACCCCGGGACAGGGGACTTCGATGTCCCCGAACCCGATGTTTATTCATATAGTATTATATAGTAGGCCTAAAAAGTGGAGGGCTATATCTCGGAAACTAGAGATGGTTCCATCACCATTTTTTCATAGAAGTGGTAACTGACCACTAGTACCCTACCCTCAAAAGTTCAAACCACATGGCTTATGTTAAGTTTTTGAATTGCGAACTGCATTGTAGAATGCAGTTCACTTTTGAATTGCAAATTGCGATCCAAAATCTGATTGTCTGATTTTGACCCGTCAGTCAGTCCTGTTTTCAGTTCAGCGCAACTCCTCATAAACCGCTGCACAGAATTTCGTCAAACTCTGCAAATATTTAGGACACAATGTGTAGATGTGCATATTACCAGGAAATTCCGATTCCTTTATTTTTTCGGGGAACTTCGGCACTTTTCAACTTACATTTTTGGCCATATCTTAAATATAGAGATGAACAGTTTGTCAGCGCAACTCCTCATAAACTGCTGCACAGAATGTCAAACTTTGCAGATATTTCAGTGCAACTCCTCTTAAACCGCTGAAGAGAATTTAGTCATAGTTTGCAGATATTTAGTACACAGTGTGTAGATGTGCATATTACCAGGAAATTCAGATTCCTTTATTTTTGTCCTAAGAGCTCTGCCTATTATTGAAGAAATTTTCCATCTAGGTAATAAGGAAATCCACTGGAATCAGCTTTTGTAATGAAATTTTATGTGAAATATTTTATGACCTTAAAAGACCCCTATTGATTTTGAGATAAATATATTAATGATTTAACACACACACACACAAAATCTTGGATAATTCTCTCTCTCTCTCTCCCCCCCCCCCCCCCAAATTGGTGCTTTGCCTTAAATAATTTCATAAGTACAGTATATAAATAAATTCATATGACTACATCATAATTTTGTTTCCATCAATTATTTAAATGTGTAAATTGTCATGTGTTGGACATGGGCTTCCACTCATTAACAAATCGAAATCACTAAGGAATTTAAATAACAGTTTGTCAGCATGACTCCTGCACTGAATTTCCTGAAACTTTGTAGGTATTTCAGACATAATGTATAGATTTGTATATTACCAAGAAATTTTGATTCCATTATTTATCTACATGTAGAAACTTCAGCCCAATTAAATTTGTAACATACAAAGATTTGAATGTCCTTATATGCAGGAAGTTTTGATGTGATGATTTTTTGCAAGTAATGCCCCTTTTTGAATTATACTGTGTATTTTTAAAATGCACTGTGCCATTCATTACGTGTTGCATTGTCGAGTTTTGGGGGGCGTGGGGTATGTGAGCTTGCTCACTTTTTCTTTAATTCTAAAGGACCGTTCACGGTAGCTCAGTCGGTAGAGCGCTCGTGATTTCGAATCTCGGCCGCGACTGACTTAAGTCGATAAAAAATGGGTAGAATCTGTTCCTTTGCCATCCGCTCGGCACTTTGAAGTGAAAGTTGTGGCTCCTTCGGAATGAGACCTTAAAAACCGAGGCCCCGTGACACGGCAGGCGTTGGCACGATAAAGATCCCTCACTGCTCAATGGCCGTGAGTGCCGAGTAAAGGTCAAAATTTGAAGACCTTCACCGGTATATGGTGACGTCTCTCTATGAGTGAAAAATTCTCGAATGGGACAAACATAATTCAGTCAATCAATTCATTCTAAAGGTCAGAGAGGTATGTCAAATTTACACTGAACAAGGCACGTGAAGAGGCCCAAAGGAGTGGATCAGACATTAAGCAGTAAGTTCGACACATTGGAAACCAATTTTAGTCCCATGTTGAAATTGGCGCACAAGAAGCTACATATCTTGTATAACAAAAGCCTTTTTCGGAGAACTTCAAGATCCTTATATTTATAAACACCAGTCCTACAGAAGAAAGAGTTGTTATGTTAAAACCGAAGCATACCTTAGAAGAGATGAAAAAAAAAACCAAGTACCGATGTAGAGTCAAGCAGTATTGTAAAATTTTATCAACAAAGACTTAAAGCTATTGAAGTGTTGTGTCTAGGTCGATTTTTGACCAGATATTTCATCATCAAACTCAACTCAAACGCTACTTACTCTGGAAGAGTCTTGAACAAGGTAATAAAAATATCTAATAATACAAGATGATCCTTTTGCGACACCATCCTGAACACTCACGTTATTTGTAATTTCTACAGGTACACCAATGACCAACTTCAAATCAGCAACCAAACATTCTTTTCGCACTGTTGCAATAAATTTTTGGCAAAATTCTTTGATGATTTGATGCATTAGCTGAACCAATAACAATCAATAGTCTTAATGCAAACTTTTATTCTAATCTTGACTCTAAAAATACTTCTGTATTGAACGTATTTACTTCTTTTCTTGTTGTGTCTTGAGATTTTTTTTTCTACCGTCACACTTTCTTTTAACTTTTCGATGTCTTCCTTGGTATGCTCTCCTTCTCTCAATCTATTAAAAAGTTCTGCAAAGTCTCTGTCATCTTTCTGTCTCATTATCGTGGTCAGTTCATATAGTTGAAAATTGTCTTTCCATAGGTTTGATGCTAAAGTTGACTATATTTTATGGTATCTAACCGAGAATTTCGACAAAAAGTCTGCTAGAATAATAATTTAATTCTGATAAAAATATACTTCAAATGTTTGGAATCAATATAAAACTCGAGCATGATTTATGTAAATAATAGAGAAAAAAGAAGATAAATATATATCTCAAACAATGTGTAGCTCTGTGTAAATAATTTGGACTTTCTATTTTATATTACTAGCCATGTGAAGTACCACCAAGTGAGATGGAAGGACAAGTAATTGCCTTCAAAAAGAAAGAGACCATGTACTCACTGAAGATAAAAGGGATTGGGAGTATGTATTCTACTTACGAGATTGAGTAAGATGATTTGGATGTAAAGCTGATTTGGAGTCTTTTATTGCTGCCAAGATGCATGTTCAGTGTAAAATTGAAACAATGAATGGAAAAGTGGAAAAACTTACTATAAAATTCAATTGAATCATAAGTGTTGTCCAATTTTGAAAGCTGAATACCGTTTCCTTTTTTATTTTGATTTTCAAGATATAAGATTTAACAGTGTTTTTTAAAGTGTTATTTCTATTTTAATACAAATTTTTCAGAAAGAGTACAGAATTCTTTCACAAGTGTTAAATTTATAATGGTAAAAAGTTACTCGGATTCAGATATCATTTTCATCATTTACAGTGGATTTTAGTTTGTATCACCATTTTTTAGAGTGTTTGTTTATCCTTAGCTGGGTTTTTTTTTCAATCGCTTCCTTTGTGGAAGTTGAAGGAGTACATGTACCTTTAAAATTTTTTGTTCTGTGCACGTTATATGTGACTTCCAACTATAAGTACATATTGTATGTTTGTTTTGTTTAGATATGGGTAACGAAAACTTCATTATCTTGAATATTGGAGTTTTTTTCAGACTTGGGATGTAAAATACCGGTAATTTGAAAGTTAACTGGTCAGATGAAACTGCATTCTATTTGCTCATTTTATTTTATTTTCTGTTGACAAGTTGTATATATTTAGTTTTCGTATTTTTCCCCCTTTTCCTGTTGATTTAGTGCATGTCTATCATGTAGAGAGTTAGTTGAGTACGTATATGCAATAGATTACAGCATGCTTGCAAATTCTCGTCATTCTGATGATGTCATCTTTCTAATTACATTTTGGAAGGTGGGCTATGTTTGTTTGTTTGTTTGCATGTCTTATAATGCAGCCCTTGTTTATTCCTTCTCTTCGATTCAAAATCCTTCATCTGTTATTTTGAAACATTTGCATTCATAAATTTTTTAAACTAAGGATATTTTCATTTATATTATATTTGATTTTTCAATTTACTGGTTTGTTTGTGTGTATATGCATGTATATACATCTCCATCGTGTTGGTCATTCCATATAGGAACTTCTTTTTTACCATATTGTGTGTTACACGTATATATTTAATGATAAGGCCAAACATACTTGTAAATGGCAGCATTTCTGTAGCAGAATATTAAAAATCAAATGGCATTTGTCTCTAAGTTTGGAAAAAATATAGGAAAAACCATATACTTGTAATAATCATTAAGATTCATTATCATTTCTGTCATTTTTAGCTCTATTGGTCAGAGACCAGAAGATTTTATGCGATAGTAAGGTGTCCGTCCGTCTGTAAACAATTTTTAGTATGCAACTCCTCCTACAGTTTTGGTCTGATTTCAATATAACTTGGCACAAAAGTAGATTACACTTTATACATAATTCTGTGTATCGGTTTTTGATTTCGATGAACGGTGTTGCCAGGGTTACTAAAAATAGAGATTTCTGGGAAATACTTTCAGAACGCTACTTCTTCTACAGTTTTGGTCTGATTTCAATATAACTTTGCACACAAGTAGATTACATCGAGGTACAGAACTCTGTGTATCGGTTTTTGATTTTTATGATTGTTGTTGCCATGGTTACTAAAAATAAAAATTTCTTTGAAAAACTTTCAAAACGCCACTTCTCCTACAGTTTTGATCTGATCTCAATATAACTTGGCACACAAGTAGACTACACTAAGATACATAATTCTGTCTATCAGTTTATGATTTTGATGAATAGTTACTAAAAATAGAAATTTCTGTGAAATACTTTCAAAACCCTACCTCCTACTGTTTTGGTTTGATTTCAGTATATTAAACCTGGCACACTAGTAGAATATACTAAGATACATAATTCTATATATGGGTTTTTTGATTTCGATGAATGGTGTTGCCATGGTTACTAAAAATAGAAATTTCCTTGAAATACTTTCAAAATGCTACTCCTCCTACAGTGTTGGTCTGATTTCAGTATAACTTGGCACACACACTACCTAAGATACATTATTACCTTTATCATATTTTGATTTCAATGAATGGTGTTGCCATGGTTTCTGAAAAATATAAATTTTGTTGAAATACTTTCAAAACACTACTCCTCCTACAGTTTTTGTCTGATTGCAATTCATCTTGCCACAAAAAGAGACTAAACCAAGGATCATTATTCTATTTATTGTTGTTGCAAAGTTTCAAGTCCAAGTTCTACATTTCTCTTCCTTTGTTATAAGTACAAACCAGTAGAGCTACAGTCTCGTCAGAGACTGTGGTTTTTAAAATTTAATACATGAACAATTGCTTTACTAAATTAAAATTTGTCTGCATCCTACTTTTTCTTATATTTCTGTCTAAAAATGAACAAGCTAATTCAGAGAATTTGTGTCCCCCCGCTTAGGTAAAAAAGAAGAGCATGTGAAGTTCGGGGGGGGGGGGGGGGGGCTCCCCTATTTGTAGAATTATAAAATGTATACCTGTATATTGAAGGAAATTAAAAAAATACCAAAATTGATATAAAATTTGATTGCTTTTGTACACACCAGACGTCATAACTTTTTCATTTCATATGTTGAATACTATCATTTAGTTAATAAAAATAAAAAAAAAGGATCGTCCAAAATTTGAACCCTG